AGAGAGAGAGAGAGAGAGAGAGAGAGAGATGTTAGGAAGCATTACAAAATTATTAATTCTATATCCAAACTTTTCTTGGCTTGTATTCATTTCATTAAACTGGAACGTCAGTATTAAAATGATCCGCAAATGTATTTGGAAGGCTTTTACTCGATTTCATTTGATAGTAAAACGAAGGGATGAAGTGGTGGTGTATTTATTGGATTTTAGATTGCACATTCATTTCAGATTCCCATGCCAAGGCCCTGTGCACCTGACTGCACTGCCGCCTGCAGCACATTTAATTTAAAATCAGGTGCCCTCAGGGACCAGCACATGTAGGTTTCTGGAGGGTCCTTCCCCAGCTATTTGTAAAGGAGCCATTTTAGATAGAGTCTGGGCAGCTGGAGTTTAAGAGATGATGATGAAAAGAGTGATTATGTGAAGGTCTTGAAAATCATTTGTTATTTGTTTCCACTTAAATCAGCAAATCAATTTGCACTATACATCCACGAAAGTATTCTCTCAAACATTTTCAACAGAGGTTTAAAGATTTTTAAAAGACATTATTCCTTTTGTTTGAAGACTACTAAAGTTTAACATCTGCTGTTTATTTTTGAATGTTCAGAGTAACATGTAATTTATGTATTTTTCAATTTCAGGATGAACAATTTTTTTTTATCAACTTGAGGTATTTGAGTTTAACTCATTTATCAAACCAGTTTTCCTGGGGAAAAAAGTTGGCTCATCTGAAAATAAAATTTTCACCTTGAATGATTTCATTTTGAGCCTAGGAGAGATGGCATCAATACTCTATAAATAATGAGTTGCTTTCTAAGTTAATTAGGCCTGAGAGAACTGACTCGTCAAACAAAACTCTCAGTCAAACTCTCCATCGTTGTGTTCTGAGCCTGCGCCTCTTGTGCTGAGGAGCTGTGTGATGTATTAGTTTCTCAAAAGGGGTACAGATAAATGTCAACTGCAGTAAGAAAAAATTTTAATTACAGCTAGCATGACTTGAGCCGCGCTGGGCAGGCCGAGTCTATATAAGTTCTATGTGTAAATAGCACATTACAGGTAGATCCTTGCTCCCAGTGTGTTAACAATAGAGTGCCTTTTGCTCCTTCTCCTTCAGAAAGATGGTTAGAATCACTTATAAATAATACAGGTCTGCCTCTGAGCATGCTTCCCCTGAAAAAGAAAACCCAAGGAAGCTTTTGTAGAAAGGACAGGTCTTGGAATGTCTTATCTTTGAATATCCAGTTTTCTGAAGCCCCCTTTTTTGACATGTTACTGATTCCACATGTGCAGCCTTGTACCCATTCTTTGAAATGCTGTTTCTTGTAAATTTGAACTGTGTACTAACCTACTGTTTGCTCAGGGTACCTCTGTTTACAGCCCCTCCTGGTCTAATCTCCTGTCCCAAGGCTCTCTGTGATGAGAGTTCATAATCTTGATTTTCTTCTACTCAGATTAAATGTAATCTTGTCTAAGACATATAGTAGGACAGCAAGGAGGACCTGAGAATATGAGTGGTTCTCTTTCCCAGGATTTATTTTTGTAGTGAAATTGCTTGCTTATGATGGAGAGATATTAACAGCAAAAATATTTTTAATGAAATGCCATGCTAATCACTTTAATTTCATTCTTTTTTGATAAATTCTAATGATGAGATTAGAGCTGTAAACTAAGACACCAGTGATAATCCTTGGCACCCTTCTTGTTATCCTATTTATTTGGCTTGAAGAGTTGTACTTGTCTGCTTTTAGAATATATGTTAATTGAGTACTCAGTATTCATTACAAATAATCTTGTCTGTTTTCTTGTCGAGATTCTGAGAAGTCCCTTTTGCTCTTTCTGTAAAAGCCAAGCAGACTGTATTAACTTCTGGTTTAATTTAAAAAACCAATGTGGAACTTGTTGGCACAACACCTTCAAGAATTGCATGTTTAATAATTGGAAGTCTTTCCATCAGATTTGTATCCAGTCTGAATTAATAATGTTGCTGACTTATTGTTTCAGAAGACAGAGTCCTTGACCTGCTAGGTTGAAAGACTTGTGGCTTCTCTGAACCTTTGTGGGTCCTTTAGCTGTGCCAGGTCCCCTGTGAATAATTAGAGGTGTTTGAAGGTATTGCAGTAGAAGCCAATTTGTGTCTTTCACTTTGCATATTGTTGAAGCCTCATGAATTAATCATAAGCAGGGCAAAAAATTAACTTCTTCAGACACATATTTTGATGGGTCATGAGGGAGAATGTAAAGTGATCTGTAAAATATTCTACTGATCCTCTAAGTATTAAATTATTATACCTACAGGCTAATTTCAAGGGGGAAAAGAGCTCCCCCTTTCAGGAACTGAGTAGCATATTTGAAAAAAAAAAAAATCAGTTTGTTAGTTCCTAGGACTGTGAGGAGGACAATAAATGAGCAATGCTATGATTTCCTGAAAACCTTAACTCTTACATTAACTCTTGATTCTAATTTGGGGAGTTTTTCTTTCAATTACTATTTTAATTTTTAGGCTCTTACAACCACACCTGAAGCTTCTTGTTGATTTGGTGGAATGTATTGTACAACCCAGCAAATACGTCATCTTCACTATAGGTGTCTAAACTGCTCACATGCTAAACCAAAGAAATATGCATTTCCAGCCTTACTTAAAATTGAGTTTTATACTAAAATATTTTCTCCATCTTCTGTTTTTCAGCCAGTGAAACGGAGATTGCGTTCTTTTGTGAAGAAGATTATAAGAACTACAAAGCTAATCCCATTTCATCTTGGTGACGGTGTCTCAGGAGCTTCCTTTCCGCATACCTGTAG